AATCAGAAACGGGTGTGACCTCGTAGTGCTGGAAATTTCAAGTATATACGGTCTTTTTTGACTGAATTGTAAGATTTTCAATTTTCAGCCATTTTGGCTGGGAAAAACAGAAAATTGACCATAACGTTTCAAGGAAGAGCTGTCAGCCCAAATCCTTTTGAGCTTTTTCCTATCTCGATGCCCTCTATCAAGCAACGTGTGAATGAAGGGAATCGGCGTTGGGCATCTCGGGAGATTCCCTCGTGAGATACCTCCACTCTCCGTTGATGATTCTTTGATATTTATTAAATGAATAGATTAAATCAGAAACCATTAAAGTGTGGTGTTGGTGTTGGTGTGTGAGTGGGTGTGGGGTGTGGGTGCGGGGATGGATGTAAGTGTCGCTAGATCGAAACCCACATCCACACCCAGATCCACACGCATATAAATTATCAATTCTCTTCTTCAAAATACAGTACTAGGCCGTAGGCAACAAGTGAGGCTCGCGCTTCAGTGAAATACTCAATCTTTTCATTTGAAATGTAAGGACAGATTCTTTCCATTCCTCTACCCACTGTTTCACGCTGAACGTGCATCAACTCTGGATTTTGTCGACATTCAAGTACCAGTTTGACTTGGTATTGGTTGCCTTCCTGTGAGATGAACTTATATGATGGGCAGTAAACGGGAAGACTTGAGTAGGCAATGGTGGGTGACGTATAGATATACCGTTTTTCTGGAATATGCCCAGGATGAATTGAAAGAAACGAGCCACTGAGTAGTTGATCACCTGGAATACTAAATTGACGATGTTTTAAAATAGATATTGCTGCTTCTTTTGATGTCCCATGGAAAGTAACATACCAACTATCCCAAATCCCATGAATTTGTTCCACAACATGGTCAATGTGGATGCCAAGTCGAACCCAATCTCGTGGTATCACATAGAAAGCTTCACCAGCTTGCAAAACATCATCCCATTCAGTTTTATAGCATGCGATACAATAGCACCAATCAAATTGCGTATCAAATATAGCGCTCGGCCTGTGGAGGGACGAAATGAATTCACGTGCCAATGAGAGATATGCACAGTTATTATCTACAGCCACTAATGCTGAACGATTGGAGTCATAATTATTACTACGTTGAACACCATTCATTTTTTCGAATAGACACAAAGATTTCATTGAAAATGTACTACCTTTTCGTTTAGGAGTAACTGACTTTTTATGGATTTCAAGTTCATCTAGTGATTCACGGTCCGGCCTATAGTGTAAATAATCGAACTCTGGCCAAGCCTCTCTTGCTAAATGTTCTTGTTCTCGTCTGTTTTCCCTTGCTATGCGCTCTTGTTCTCGCAGAACTTCCCTTGTATTACATTCTTGCTGTCGGATAGCTTCCCTTGTATTGCGTTCTTGCTGTCTCGTAGCTTCCCTTGTATTGCGTTCTTGCTGTCTCGTAGCTTCCCTTGTATTGCGTTCTCGCTGGCGCAGAGTCTCCCTATCATAGGTTGTTGCTGTTGCAGTCACCGTTACTATACAGTCTCGTTGGCTGCTAGTCGTATTCACCCGATGAAGTTCGTAGCAGTGCAAATGAGTTCTGAAGCAACTTCGTTTGCTTGGCTTTTTTAATGATGCCTTTTTTATCCATAAACCTATTTTTAACCTGCATCAAGTCAACGGAGTAAACACAGAAAATTACAACTTGCAATGTTCCACTCAAGAAAATACTTAGGTCTGACCAAAAGTTCTGCAATTTTTAAAAAAAAATTAAAGAAAAAGAGAAAGTTCGAGTTTTATTTTATTAAATGTTGATGATAGTTGCCATGATTATATATATCAAGTTGAATCCTTTCTAACAATTTGTTAAAAGTTTTTTTGAACTCTTTTTCGAAAAAAATTTTAGGTACCTTGGATACCACATGGGCTGATCATATTTCATTGTTTTAAAAATTTAGTGAAATTTTGTTCGATCATGGCAGTTGCGTTCTAGCACTACTAGTGATGGGATATGGATTTATTTTAGATAGGTTAGTCATAAGTCATCTGATGCTAGCTGGCTTATTGAAGATGAATCGTCAAAGACTATTGTTCATGAAGACAGATTTTAACCAAAACTTTGTTTAGTATATTCTTTAAATCAAATAGTCCTCAGTGTAGATAAAGGCAAGACTGTAGGTCACAAGTATTATATTGAAAATTGTCCGAAGCCTTTTGTTAATGAAATATGGAAACAAACAGAGATATCAGGGCCAAAATGTACAAAATTGCTTGACGATCATCGTTGACTCCATACTTATCCAATGTTATTAATTATATGACAGAAGAAGGCATCAATATAATGTCATATCCATCATATTCGCCAGGCCTGATACTATGTAATTTTTGGCTAACCAATTCTATTGAACGTAGTTTCACTAATTAAATAAATGAAATATGATTAGTTCATGTGGTATCCAAGGTACCTAAAATTTTTTTCGAAAAAAGAGTTCAAAAAAACTTTTAACAAATTGTTAGAAAGGATTCAACTTGATATATATAATCATGGCAACTATCATCAACATTTA